GACGCCACCAGGCGCGCAAGCCGCTGCTGGCGCATCGCATTTAGCGATGGGGGGGCCCTCGGGCTCGTACCAGTAATGCGGGATGACGATTAAAAAAATGGGAGAGAACGATTACGCTACCGAGGAACCCCACATACTGATTTTATGTCTTGTGTGAACCGCGCTACCACTACCACCGCCGTCATGCTCTCAGGTGCCCCCTGTGGTCGTTGAAAGGAGGGGGAGGACGTGTGGGGGGAGAGGAAGGGTTGAGGAGTCATCTGTGACGGTCATATCCAGCGTCGCCTGGCAATTGGATACGAGAGGTAATACGCAATCCCGCACTAGAGGCTATGCCTGGACGACCCTGGCACGCATAGGGAGACCACCGCCTGCGCACCCCCTCTGGTGTCGAGAAAATGCAACGCCTGCAATGCCTGGACGACCCTGGCACGCATAGGGAGACCACCCCCTGCGCACCCCCTCTGGTGTCGAGAAAATGCCACGCCTGCAATGCCTGGACGACCCTGGCACGCATAGGGAGACCACCCCCTGCGCACCCCCTCTGGTGTCGAGAAAATGCCACGCCTGCAATGCCTGGACGACCCTGGCACGCATAGGGAGACCACCCCCTGCGCACCCCCTCTGGTGTCGAGAAAATGCCACGCCTGCAATGCCTGGACGACCCTGGCACGCATAGGGAGACCACCCCCTGCGCACCCCCACCCCCTCTGGTGTCGAGAAAATGCCACGCCTGCATGCCTGGACGACCCTGGCACGGCATAGGGAGACCACCCCCTGCGCACCCCCTCTGGTGTCGAGAAAATGCCACGCCTGCTATGCCTGGACGACCCTGGCACGCATAGGGAGACCACCCCCTGCGCACCCCCTTCTGGTGTCGAGAAAATGCCACGCCTGCTATGCCTGGACGACCCTGGCGCGCATAGGGAGACCACCCCCTGCGCAACCCCTCTGGTGTCGAGAAAATGCCACGCCTGCTATGCCTGGACGACCCTGGCGCGCATAGGGAGACCACCCCCTGCGCACCCCCTCTGGTGTCGAGAAAATGCCACGCCTGTTGCCTGGACGACCCTGGCACGCATAGGGAGACCAGCACCTGCGCACCCCCTCTGGTGTCGAGACAATGCCACGCCTGCTATGCCTGGACGACCCTGGCGCGCATAGGGAGACCACCCCCTGCGCACCCCCTCTGGTGTCGAGAAAATGCCACGCCTGCTATGCCTGGACGACCCTGGCGCGCATAGGGAGACCACCCCTTGCGCACCCCCTCTGGTGTCGAGAAAATGCTACGCCTGCTATGCCTGGACGACCCTGGCGCGCATAGGGAGACCACCCCCTGCGCACCCCCTCTGGTGTCGAGAAAATGCCACGCCTGCTATGCCTGGACGACCCTGGCGCGGATAGGGAGACCATCCCCTGCGCACCCCCTCTGGTGTCGAGAAAATGCCACGCCTGCTATGCCTGGACGACCCTGCCGCGCATAGGGAGGGGGGCTGGGGGGGGGGGGGGGGGGGGGGGGGGGGGAAAACCACCCCCCCCCCCCCTGCGCACCCCCGTCTGGTGTCGAGAAAATCTGCCACGCCTGCAATGCTGACGACCCACGTATAGCCGTGTCCCAAGACCACCCCCTGCGCCCCCCCTCTGGTGTCGAGGAAATGCCACGCCTGCTTTGCCTGGACGACCCTGGCGCGCACAGGGCGACCACCCCCTGCGCAACCCCTCAGGTGTCGAGAAAATGCCACGCCTGCTATGCCTGGACGACCCTGGCGCGCATAGGGAGACCACCCCCTGCGCACCCCCTCTGGTGTCGAGGAAATTTCACGCCTGCTATGTCTGGACGACCCTGGCGCGCATAGGGAGACCACCAACTGCGCACCCCCTCTGGTGTCGAGGAAATGCCACGCCTGCTATACCTGGACGACCCTGGCGCGGATAGGGAGACCACCCCCTGCGCACCCCTTCTGGTGTCGAGAAAATGCCACGCCTGCTATGCCTGGACGACCCTGGCTCGCACGCATAGGGAGACCACCCCCTGCGCACCCCCTCTGGTGTCGAGAAACTGCCACGCCTGCAATGCCTGGACGACCCTGGCACGCATAGGGAGACCACCCCCTGCGCACCCCCTCTGGTGTCGAGAAAATGCCACGCCTGCTATGCCTGGACGACCCTGGCACGCATAGGGAGACCAGCCCCTGCGCACCCCCTCTGGTGTCGAGAAAATGCCACGCCTGCTATGCCTGGACGACCCTGGCACGCATAGGGAGACCACCCCCTGCGCACCCCCTCTGGTGTCGAGAAAATGCCACGCCTGCAATGCTTGGACGACCCTGGCACTCATAGTGAGACCACCCCCTGCGCACCCCCTCTGGTGTCGAGAAAATGCCACGCCTGCTATGCCTGGACGACCCTGGCACGCATAGGGAGACCACCCCCTGCGCACCCCCTCTGGTGTCGAGAAAATGCCACGCCAGCAATGCCTGGACGACCCTGGCACGCATAGGGAGACCACCCCCTGCGCACCCCCTCTGGTGTCGAGAAAATGCCACGCCTGCAATGCCTGGACGACCCTGGCACGCATAGGGAGACCACCCCCTGCGCACCCCCTCTGGTGTCGAGAAAATGCCACGCCTGCAATGCCTGGACGACCCTGGCACGCATAGGGAGACCACCCCCTGCGCACCCCCTCTGGTGTCGAGAAAATGCCACGCCTGCAATGCCTGGACGACCCTGGCACGCATAGGGAGACCACCCCCTGCGCACCCCCTCTGGTGTCGAGAAAATGCCACGCCTGCTATGCCTGGACGACCCTGGCACGCATAGGGAGACCACCCCCTGCGCACCCCCTCTGGTGTCGAGAAAATGCCACGCCTGCAATGCCTGGACGACCCTGTCACGCATAGGGAGACCACCCCCTGCGCACCCCCTCCTGGTGTCGAGAAACTGCCACGCCTGCAATGCCTGGACGACCCTGGCACGCATAGGGAGACCACCCCCTGCGCACTCCCTCTGTTGTCGAGAAAATGCCACGCCTGCGATGCCTGGACGACCCTGGCACGCATAGGGAGACCACCCCCTGCGCACTCAGCTAAGCTGAGCCGAGCTGTGCTGTGCCGTGCCGTGCTGAGCTGAGCTGAGTGAGGTGAATGAGCGCGGGTGCGGCGCGGCAGGGAAGAGAAGGAGAGGGAGGAGAAGGAGAAGGAGGAGAGGAAAGTGAGGAGAGGAGAGGAAGGAGGAGAGAGGAGATGAGGTGAGGAGAGGAAGGAGGAGAGAGGAGATGAGGTGTGAGGTGAGGTGAGACGCGGGTGCGCCGCGGCAGGGAAGAAAACCAGAACCCCACGAAACACGTGGGGAATTCAGACAATAGTTTTCTGTTATTTCTGCACAATTTTCTGACTGGAGGAGAACGGTTAAAAAAAATAGGTGTCCAACCCGCGGCCGGTTTTTTCTAATCGTCATCTTGGGCGCCGCCGCGTGAACACGACCCCTGGTCATTTATTGATCGTCATCCTCCATGATGTCACTCCAGCGAAAGGTCACTCTGACGTGTGGCCGATGCTCGGGGGTCTGGTGCTCAGCTGCTGCACAAGAAAACGCTGCTTGTTCAAGGTTAGACTCGTCGGCGGTCGGCCAGCCGAGACGGAACAACAGAACCGCCACAGCAGACCAGAGCAGACACCGACACGGCAGCGCGAGGCACCGAACCGAACACGGCGCGAACGAGAGCCCCAAAACATAAAAGAATGGCCCCAACACAAAAAAATGCCGACGCTGAAAACACACAACAAGAATAATAACAATAATAAGAAGAACAATAAGAAAGAAGAAGAAGAAGAAGAAGAAGAGGAAGAAGAAGAAGAACACCCGCCCCAAGCGTTGTTTGTACCATCTCGGGCCAGGACTAGAGCTGGGGGGGTGCCCTGCGCGCAGGCCTAAAGCCCTCCCGAGCCCGAGGCGCTTGTGGAAGGCTAACACGGTGCTCAAACAGATTTGCCCTGCGCTTCTCCTCGAGAAGGGCGAAGAGGAGAGGGATGCCCGCGGAGACCTCCCGAGACCCCCGCGCAGACCGCCAGAGGCCTCGAGAGAAACTCCTCGAGGCCCCGAGACTGCTTCGCACCTCCAGGGCCTTTCTCGGGGCTCCTCTGCCCCCCCCCCCCTCCAGGGAGCCGAGGAGAAGCACGGGGCCTCTCTGCCATTAAGTCGGGCCTGTCCCCCTACAGGGGGATTTTCGACGAAAAATAGAAAATGCCCCAACAATAACCAAACCATCTTCCAAAAATAGTCAGGGGGACTAGTTTTTGTATGTTTTGACCTCCTTGGAATATTTCGTGTTTCTTTTTTAAAATAAAAAAGAAAACATGTTCGTCGAACATCCCCCTGTAGAGGGACGCGCCCGACAATTCTCTGCCACGAGGCGGATGGGCCTGGGAGGCGATGAAAGGGCCCGAGGAACCGCACATGCAGCACCTGGAGGACCTAGGCTTCCTGACGTTCGAGAAGGACGTGGTGTCTGGGTGGCGGCAGAGAGCGAAACCCATGCTGCCCCCACCAGCCCCCCCCCCGCCGACGGCGACGACGACGACGACGATGACGACTGCGAGTGACGACAGCGACGACGACAGCAGCGAGGTCGACGATGACGACTGCGAGTAACGACGGCGACCAACGACGACGACGACTGAATGCGGCGGTGGCGACGACGACGACGACGACGACGACGACGACCCAAAACGAAGACGACAACGACGACGCCGACGACAGCGGCGGCAACGGCGGCGGCGGCAGCGACCCAGACCGCGACGACGCAGAGCGGCGATGATGGCGGCGGCGGCGGCGATGATGGCGGCGGCGGCGGCAACGACGCCGTCGGCGTTGCCGATGACGGCGGCGGAGACAAACGGCGGCAGCGACGAAGACGCCGACGCCCACGTCGAGCGACGACGACCAACGACGGCCACGACAGCGACGGTGACGACGACGTCGACGATGGCGGCGGCGCCAACGTCCTCGAGGGGCGCGGTCCCTGCAGGCAGCTGTCGCGGCGCGCTGTGAGCCTGCAGGGGAGGAGTGCGAGGACGAGGAAGAGAACCTCGCTTCCTCCCCCCTCCCCTACCCTCCCTTTCCCTCCTCCCGTTTCCTCCTCCTCCTCCTCCCGTCCCTGCTCTGGCTCCCCCTCCCCTCCCCTCCCTTCTCCTCCTCCGCCTCCTTCCCTCTGTTGTTCTCCTCCCCATCACTGCTCCTCGGCGCTCGCGGCGCTTTGTGAAATGCAGAGCTGGTGCGCAGCTTCGTTCTGCGGCACGAGCTGCTGGAACGGTCTCCCTCGTAAGCGCTGGACGCTTGGATGACACCCGCATCGAAGACGCCAACGGCGAACTTCTCCTCCTCCTACACCTCCTCCTCCTACTGGTTTTCTCCTCCCTCTTCTCCTCATCCTACTGGTTTTCTCCTCCTCCTCCTACTAGGAACCTCCCTCTTCTCCTCCCCCGTCTCCTCCTACTTCTCCTCCTCCACTGGGAGCCTCCTTCTTCTCCTCCTCCTACTGTTTTTTTCTCCTCCCCTCCAGCCTCCGTGTCCTCTTCCCCATCCTCATCCCTCCCCACCGTGCCCTGCCGTGCCGCCCGCGCGCCTCCCGCCCCCCTGCCTTCCTTCCCCGCGCGCCCTGCCAGCCTCCCCTTCTCTTACGTCGGGCCCGTCCCTCTACAGGGGGAAGATTCAAGAATAGTCAAAAAGTAGTCTGGGGACTATGTTTGGAGTATCTGTTTGACCATGTTGGAACATTTTCTTGCGCAGTTCTTGCTTCTCGTCGAAGCTCCCCCTGTAGGGGGACAGGCCCCGCTTAACCCTACGCCTCGCCCCCCTCCCGTGCCGTGCCGTGCCGCCCGCGTGCCCCGACGCGCCGCGCTCGGCCTCCAGGGCGCAGGGACGCTGCCGCCCGCTCGCCGCTTGCACGCGCCCGCTTGCCGCGCCCGCGCCCGCGCCCGCGCGTGCCGACGCCGACTTGCCACGCGGCCGCTTCCGCTTTGTAGCCTTGCCATCCTGCGGCAGTCCCAAGCCCGTGCTGGCGGGCATTGTTGTGTGGCCTCTCTCGGGAGCCCTCGGGGGGAGCCCTCGGGAGCCCCACGGCAACGGGGCTGGTGGGACCCCGGGTTGGCCCCGTGCCCCAACGGGGCTAAATGTGACCCCGCGTTGGGGCCATGACCGCCGCTCTGGTACAGGGCCCCTGGGAAGCGAGCGAAGCGGACGGCGGCACGTGTCTTCCCATGTAATGCGGGATGACGATTAATAAACAAATGGGAGAGAACGATTAAAACATAGTTTTCTGCTATTTCTGCACAGTTTTCTGACTGGAGGAGAACGATTAAATAAATAGTTTTCCAGCCCGCGGCCGGTTTTTTCTAATCGTCATGCCAGGCGCCGCCGCGTGAACACGACCCCCGGTCATTCATCAATCGTCATCCTCCATTAACGCCGGAGTTTAGGGTCACCATGCCAATGCAATAATTGTAATTTGTTTGGGGTATGCGCTCGCTGCTCCGATCTGGTCTCATCCGGAGACCGTGCAGAAGCAACACAACGAACGAACTCCTTCGGCGCTGAGCGAGCCCGACTCGGAAGCGTGGGAGATGGGGGGAGGGGAGGATGGAAGGAGGAGCAGGGCGGTGAGGAAACAATCAGAGACAGATCTCGCTGCTCCCCGGACCTCTCTCCCAGGGGACCTCGAAAAGAACCCAGCCGCTGCGACGCGGCCTCCCCAGGACAAGCAGCGGTACCGTTGCTCCTCTGAGGGAAGAGGAGGGAGGGAGGGGGAGCGATGGAGAAGCAAGCAAGGGTGAGGGAGGAACGATGGGGAGAAATTAGCAAAATTGGCGGCGCGCAGAGGGGTGTGGGGGTAGGGGGAAGGCTTCTCAGAAGCACCCCTGCTTCTTAGAAGGCGCGGGTCTTGTCTGTAGATGTAAGACCGGCGCCTTCTAAGAAGCAGCATCCGTCTAAGAAGCCTTCCCCCCTCCCCCTACCCCCTTGTGCGCGCCGCCCAGAAAACCATCCGCGGTATTTTTGTGCCACAGCGAGCGGAGGCTTGAGTTTCCTGCCGTGATTCGGGTCCCCGGCGGCCGCTCAGGACGATTCCAGTACCCCTGAAACGCTGTCGGCGCGGCGCCACTGTTGGAGAGCATCCTGAGGCAAGACAACCCTTGGGAAAGAACGGAAACATCCGATCCCCTTCGAATCTTGAAAACCTAAAGCTCCGAAAACCTTACAACGAGAGGATGTCAGGATGTATTGGGCAGCCTGCTGCATCTGCTGGTGCCCTATGTTGATCTGCATAGGCCGGCGCTTCTCGACCAGTATCTCGAGCACCTCCGCGGGACCAGGGGGGAGAAAGAACGGCGCCTCGGGCACCCTGCGGAGCACGACGCAGTGCGGGCGAGGAGGAAGAAAGAGGAAGGGGAACCAATTTGTTCCCAGATCAAGGCACTCACCCGAAGGCTGCACGACGGGAGACACAATACAAAGGACACATACGGTAAGACATGTGGTTATTCCCCAGACATTACCAGCCTCGAACGTATCCCTATCCCTAAGATTGACACACCAAAAGGCGATGACAATCTTAGGGGTTCGCCCTCAAAACTTGAGGGAATCCCCAAGACTGGCGTCGTGATGTGGAGGTGCCCAGCATAGGGATAGGGATGTGTGTCCAGGCTGGTCAAGACAGCGCTCGCACTTTTGGGCCTCGTACTTCCCTCCCCCAAATGACTGGCCCTGGTGGTCGGCGTGGCCGGCTCGTGGCCGCCCGTCGCCGCCCGTCGCCGCCCGTCCTTGGTCGCGGTGTTGATCCTGCGAGGCCCGCACTCCGTCGTGGCTCGCATTGCGCTGCGCTGCTGCGCATCTGTCTTGCAGTGCTCAGCACTTGTTTGCACTGCGCGGCGTTGCTCTGCGATGCTCTGGACCACATCGATTGCAGCACATGGGTGGTACCACACACACATATGTATGTATGTATGTATGTATGTATGTATGTATGTATGTATGTACGTACGTACGTACGTACGTACGTACGTATGTATGTATGTATGTATGTATGTATGTATGTATGTATGTATGTATGTATGTATGTATGTCTGTATGTATGTATGTATATATGTATGTATGTATGTATGTATGTATGTATGTATGTATGTATGTATGTATGTATGTATGTATGTATGTGTGTGTATGTATGTATGTATGCATGCATGCATGTATGTATGTATGCATGTATGTATGTATGTATGTATGTGTGTATGTGTGTATGTGTGCATGTGTGTATGTGTATGTGTATGTGTATATATATATATAAATATAAATATTGCACCGCGTTGATTGCACCACCTCGATTGTGCCGCACAGAATGCAACAAGCCATGGTTTGGGGCCCAGGCTGGCTGGCACAAGAAATGCTGGGCACATTCGTTCGCCTCGGCACCCTCCGGCTCTTCCTCCACCTCCTTGTGCTCCTCCTCCTCCCCCTCCTCCTCGTCCTCCTCCTCCTCGTCCTCCTCCCTCTCCTCTTGTTTGTTCTCTTTGTTCTCCTCCTGTTTCTTCTCCTCTTCTTGCCCATCGGCCTCCGCCCCGTCCCCCATGCGAGCAAAAACGAGTGACGGGACGCCGACTACAGGCGCCTTGTTCTGCATGCACTCCTGCAGCATCGCGTGCGAGTTGCCGCGGATGCCGTTGACCGCCGTGATGCGGTCGCCCTCCTCGACCCTGACGAACCTGGGGGGACAAAGGGGTGCCGATACCAATACTTCCCCGACCTCTCCTCGGGTGCATTCCTACCAAAACTTCGAGGCGAATCCAACCACGGCGACCGGGACCCTCCCACGAGACCCGAAGAGGCGAAGAGGAGGCCAGGGCAGCGGCGTCGGTGTTCGTTCCTCCCTGGAGGGCCTGGACCCCTCCTGGCAGTTCCACCGGTGCACGAGGCCGGTGGGTGTCACAGCGTCTATCACCAGGAAGGCGCGCTCCTGTGAGGTGCAACGTCAGGGGGGGGACAGGCCCCGGGGGGTCGGCGGTCGGCCCCCGATGTAGCGAATGTGCACGCTCCTTGGCGGGTCGGGTCATCGAGCCCCTATCGGCGATCAGTGGGCGACTGGGGGTCGATGCGTCCCCCCTAAGCCTACCCCCCGCCCCCAGATGCTCGACATCTGGTCTTCGGACCACACCTCGGGTCTCCGGCGGCCGTTCGGGACGACCCGGGCACCCCCCGACGCGTCTCGGCGAGGCGCAGCTGCTGAAACGCGCCCCGAGACTGACACAGAGCGTTGCTTGACGGTCCAGGGGGCCCAGGAAGGGCCCCCAGGGGTCGAAAGTAGCGACGCACCGTCCGCCGTGATGTTGTCGATGACTCGAAGGGGTCAGGGGTCGAGCCTCGAGCTTCGAACCCTCGAGCCCTTGAAATGTGAGCGTTTTTTTTGTATTCGGCGTCTCGACATTGGGAGGAAGGGGGGGAGGGGGGGGGGGTCTGGCTCTGGACCTCTGCATAGTGCGACTGTTTGGGACCCGGCGTGCTACTGGGGAGACCCCACCCGCTCGCAACAGGCGCCCCAAGCAGCCAAGATCTCCTACCATCTCTGAAAGGGAACAGTACGCATGATGTGCCAACCCCATCGGACTGAGCATGCCCACTGTGGAAAAGGGAGCCTCTGGTCCGGGGACGCACGCCGGCAAGGCGTCCTAATGGCTGCTGCTGCGCCAACAGCGTGCCTATGAACGACAACGCGCTGTTCCAGCACGTCGTTTGGACGAGGCCTTCACGACTGGGGGAGGGGGGGAGGTTTGGGGGCCCTCGCCGATCGGCAAAACAACGAATAAAAACGCTCGCAATGGCCGCTGCTCCTGGTGGATGTTCACGCCGAGCCGCTCGCCCGCGGAGCTGTCCAGCGTGATGTGCACGTTGCTCACGACCACGACGCCCGGGTGGCCCAGCGCCTCGCCGTCTGGGCCACCTCGGAGGCGCAGCGGCCACGGCTCAGAACGTCAGGATGCGCCGACGACGACGCCGACGCCGACGCCGACGCCGACGCCGACGACGACGACGACAACGACGACGACGACGACGACGACGCCAACCCCCGGCGCAGCGGCCACGGCTCAGAACGTCAGGATGTTCGACGACGACGTCGAAGCCGACGCTGCCGACGCCGACGACGACGCCGACGCCGCCGACGACGACGACGCCAAGCCCCTCGTCGGTCGTCGGAGCAGCGCGAGGAGCCCTCGAGGTGAGATGTTTTCAGACATGCTCGTCGGATCTCGGCGGTTTTCCAGACCCCAGCAGCTTTCCAGCGGCAGCGTTATGGTCCGAACGCCAATTATCAACCGCCGCTCGAATGACCGCGGGGATTGCTTAGGGGATAGTAGGGTTAGAAGTGGATGCCAAGGTGTGTCATATCTGGCCTGACCTAGCTTGCACGTGGGCTACAATTGCCCCACTCCTGGCCTCCTCATCCCCTTCGCAAGCCGCGCGGTCATCCAAGCGGTGTCCGTCTTCGAGCCTCAGGACCATCATAAACGGATCTGGGGCTGGGGACGGGGTCGGGACCTCTTGGGCCCTGGAATGGGAACATCACGACGGATGACTGTTGATAATTTTCAGCCTCTGGGGTCCCTCACCGGGCCCAAGGACGGTCAAAACAATGGCTCGGGATGAAAAGCAGGTCCCGGAGAAGGGGTCGAGCCCTCTGGGGGCTTGCGCTAGAAAACAATCACGACGGAGGATGTCTGAGACGACTCGAAAACCAGGCTGCACGGTCGGGATCTGTTGCACAGATTGTGGCGGTGGCGGCCCTGGCGACACGCTATGCCCGCGAGCGGATAGCGTATCACTCCGCTCCGCTGGGCAGGGGGGTGGGAAAGGCTCGGGACGCTGACGCTTTGGAGCTGGGAAGTGGTCCGCGGTTCTCGCCGAGGTGTGGTGGGCCAGGACTGTCGGCGCGACACTCTGAGCAAACGTTCCTCACCGTGGCTTTTCTAGTGAGGGAGCGCCTCGTGCCGCACCTCTTCTCCCTCCCCGCCCCGTCGATGGGGGGAGCACGCCAAAGGGCTTCGCGAGACCCGGACCCTCGACGACCTTGTCATGACCTTGTCATGACGTCGACCCCCAGAAGTCTCGACCCACTCCCCGGGACCGGTCCTGCATCCTGAGTCGTGCTTTGACGGTCCAGGGGGCGGGGCGATGGACCCCGAGCCCGAAAACGATGCCGTGATTTGTACACGACTCGAGGGCTTACTGGGACGGGGCTCGCGGAGAGGGAGATGCGGGCAGCGGGCTCGCGCTGTGTGCACGCGGCGCGCGGCAAGCACACCAGCGCCGTGGTGCTGCGCACTGGCGCCGCGCAGACACCCTCTCGCCGTACCTGCTCGCACTGCCGCGCAGTCCTCCGGCTCTCCCGGCTCATCCTCCTGGGGGGGGCCTGGCCAGGACATCTGAGCATCTGACATCTGAGCATCCCACGATGCCACAAGTAAGGCAAGCTGACAGCACCCCTCCCCTCCGTCTCCTCCGTGTTCCTCCGTCTTCCTCCTCCTCCCCCCTCGTTCTCCTCGTCATCAGCACCATCATCATCATCATCATCATCATCATCATCATCATCATCATCATCATCATCATCATCAACCACAACACCATCTTCATCACCATCATCCTCACAACCATCATCATCATCATCATCAGCATCATCATCATCATCATCATCATCCGCATCATCAGCATAATCATGCTCATCATCACCATCACAATCACCATCAACATCATCATCATCATCATCGTCATCATCATCATCATCAACATCACAATCACCATCAACATCATCACCATCCACACCATAATCATCAGCATCATCAGCATCAGCATCGTCATCATCATCAGCAGCATCAGCATCGTCATCATCATCCTCATCCTTCTCTCCGTAACTACCATTCGAACTGGGTCGTGTCGTCGCACCTCCTGGCGTGTTGGTATTTCATGCGGTCCATGCGTTTCTGAAACTCCTTCACGGCTGACGACAATGAAGCTTGAAGACTCCAACAGTTTTGTGAACTTGGAGGGCGTGCAGTGCTCAACCTGTGGCACATGATGCGACGCCGTTCACATCTGATACGTAGCACTCCACTGTTCCACACTTGCGGATAAGAGTGAGGGGGCGGGCACGGGCGACGCGGGCGTCGAGCCGGCGGACCTCGTGGCCCTCACCTTCCTTGTCGATGGCGCCCTCCTCCTCCTCCTGCTCCTGCTCCTCCTCCTCCTCCTCCTCCTCCTCCTCCTCCTCTTCCTCGTCCGCGTCCTCATCGTCGTCGTCGTGCTCTGACAAGGTCAGCGCGGGGGGGAACGCTGGTGGGCCACCCGGAACGAATGTAAAAACAGCCCGCCGCAGGCGCCGAATTTTGGGTTTGTTCAGTGAACGTAGTTTGGGTCGCGGGTGGGTCGCGGGCTCTCAACCTCCACCTGGAATATATTCAAAAACATCCCGCCGCAGGCGCCGAAAATTTTGATTTGTCCACCGAACGCGGTTTGGGTCGCGGGTGGGTCGCAGGTTCTCCACCTGGAACGAATGCAAGAGAAACCCGCTGCAGGCGCCAAAGTTTTGTCGTGTTCAGTGAACGTAGTTTGGGTCGCGGGTGGGTCGCGGGCTCTCCACCTCCACTTGGAAGGAATTCAACAACAGCCCGCCGCAGGTACCGAAAATTTTGATTTGTCCACTGAACGCGGTTTGGGTCGCGGGTGGGTCGCAAGTTCTCCACCTGGAACGAATGCAAAAGAAACCCGCTGCAGGCTCCGAAAATTTTGGGTGGGTCGCGGGGTGGGTCGCGGGTGGGTCGCGGGTGGGTCGCGGGTGGGTCGCGGGCGCGGTTGCCCGCGTTTGGGTCCCGGGTGGGTCGCAGGTTCTCCACCTGGAACGAATGCAAAAGAAACCCGCCGCAGGCGCCGAAAATTTTGGGTGGGTCGCGGGGTGGGTCGCGGGTGGGTCGCGGGTGGATCGCGGGTGGGTCGCGGTGGGTCGCGGGTGGGTCGCGGGTGGGTCGCCGGTGGGTCGCGGGTGGGTCGCCGGGGGGGGTCTCGGGGTGGGTCGCGGGCGGGTCGCGGGGTGGGTCGCGGGGTGGGTCGCGGGTGGGTCGCGGGTGGGTCGCGGGGTGGGTCGCGGGTGGGTCGCGGGGTGGGTCGCGGGTGGGTCGCGATCAGCAGCGGGGGTGGTTCACGGTGGGTCGCGGGGTCGGGTCGCGGGTGGGTGGTACGACCAAAACAACAAACACAACAGACAACAACAACAACAACAACAACACCAACAACACAACAACAACACCCCGAGCCGAGCAGCAAGCAACACAAAAACAACAACACAACAACTACACCAACAACAACAAAACAGCAGTGCAACACAGCAGCAAACACACAACAACACAACACCACACAACAACAACAACAACAGCAACAACAACCACAACAACACCCCAACCACACCCACAACAAACCACAACAACAACAACAATCACTTTATACCGCGAACGCTCAGTGTTCTCACCAGTGCCAGGGTTTTCATCGGAGGCGGGCAATACCCCCACTTTGTGGGGGGGCCGGTTCAAGCTCTACCAAGTTTCCAAACGACTCTTCGCCACCACCCACACCCAGCTTCCCGCCCTATGACGTTCGGACACTTCACTTCGTGGCCTGCGGACGACCGTGGCTACTACACTGGCGCGGAGTACACACCCACAGAAGTTGTTAAGCCTACGTTCGTACACCCACAGAAGTTGTTAAGCCTTGTTAACCCACAGAAGTTGTGAAGCCTTCCACAGAACATCTGTTGCATATGATGCATATGGTACAGCCGCAAGGGATTGTGGCCCCTGGCAGGCGCGCGAACCCCGTTGCAAGAGCGTGCGAAAGTAGCTCGCGCGAGCTCATGTAACATAAATGTTGGAAAACCATTGGTTTTTTTTTAGGATTCGGACAGCGCGCGCGGGTAGAAATTTTGAAAAGTCGTGCAGGTGTTTTTTCGAGGACCTACGGTGCGATTCGTGTGATTTTATGATGCGCGGTGCTAAAATTCTTAAGAAGCCCAATGGTTTTTGGAGATTTCGGCGTGCGCGCGCGAAGAAAAAACGAATGTGTCCCGCATGGTATTATTTGACAGGGATGATGGCCCTGGCAGGTGCGCAACCGTTGTCGCAGAAGTTCGAAAAAGTTGCTCGCAAAAGCCCGTTTGACAGGAATGTTTAAAAAGTGTTGGGTTTCCTACGAATCCGCAAGAGCGCGCGGGATGAGATTTTGTCAATTTTTTGTTGAAAAACCATTGGTTTTTTGATGTTTTTATGTTAAATCGCTGCGAACACTAAGGTTTTGGAAGGATTTCGTCTTGCGCGCGCGAATGTCCACTTTACCTTATTTTTTGCAAGGGATTCTTGAATTTTGATTATATTAGAACAAGAAATGTCATTTTATAGTGTTTTTTGCAAGGGAAAACGGATTACAACAAAACAACCGGATCTTGATGACATCGTATTACCTGAGGCTTCCTCACGAAAATGATGAAAATGTAGCTGCGGCCTAGGCGGCGCAGGGGGGCCGTGCACCAGGGGTCCCAACAATAATTATTCTGTAGAATTAATAATGTTCAACAACAACAGTAATAATAATACGCATCGCGGAATTCCACTTCAGCCACGCACCCAGGGACAGTGAATGACCGTTCGGTTCAGCCCTCACTCTAATATAACATAACACCAGAGATAACCCCAACCAGTGGATGAATTGAACATTGATACTAAGGATCTTGAGATCGATTGTGAGATCGATAATGAGATCGATAGTGTAATCGATAGTGTGGACGATTGTAAGTAAGGTCGATCGTGAGACCGAGAGTGAAATCGGTTCAATGAGATCGATAGTGAGATCAATCGCGAGATCGCTCATGCGATCTCTAATGAGATCGCTTGTGAGGTTGATCATGAGATCGATTGTGAGATCGATGGTGAGATCGATCGAGAAATCGGTAATGAGATCGATGGTGAGACCGATCGATAAGAAGATCGACCAAGAACCCGGGAACCCAGGAAACTCGCCGCCCTCCGAAATCGGCCCGGAATCCGGAACTGGGAACCCGGGAGCTCGGGACCGGGAACCCGGGACCCCGGAAACCCAGCCTGCCACCAAAATCGGCGGGGAATTTTCGCCAAATCCTTCAACTTCCTCTAGGGCCTCTTCATCTTCAGTGCAAGCGCTGATTGGGCAATGAAGAAGTACACGGGTGTCTGACTGCGATTTAGCGAAATAGTTATTCCAACTTCCTTCCCCTCGGGGTAGCCGTCTACCTCTCCCCCCACCTCCTCTCCATGGGTCTGGAAACACCCAGAGCGAAAGACCCGCGAAAGCCTTGATGTTTGACTTCTCTTGTCGTCGTCGCTGTCGCTGTCGCCGTCGCCGTCGCCGTCGCCGTCGCCGACGCCGACGTCGCCGTCTCCGCCGTCGCCGTCGCCGTCGCCGTCGCCGTCGCCGTCGCCGTCGCCGTCGCCGTCGTCGTCGTCGTCGTCGTCGTCGTCGTCGTCGTCGTCGTCGTCATCTCCTTCTTCCTCCTCCATCCTCTTTTTCCTCCTCCTCCTCCTCCTCCTCCTCCTCCTCCTCGTCCTCCCGCCTCCTCGGCCTCCTCTTTCTCTCCTCCTGCTCTCCTCTCTCCCTCCTCCTCCTCCGTCGGTCACTCTTGCTGCCCATCCTTTTTGTTCCCCTGCATGCTGCTACGTGGGAACACGAAACGTCAAAACATTCAAAAATATGGCTCGCCGGAGTGCAGCGCACACTCGTCCTGAAGGCTCCAGCTGGTCTCACGGACCGAAGGCGGCCCGTTCAAAAAGAAACCGGAGCTCCCGCCAGAGCGCAGCGCACACTCTTCTTGACTGCCCCAAACGAGTGCACGAAGAAAGGGCTGATACTCCAGATCTCGTAATAAAAGGGAGGGGGTCTGGACCCTCCAAGTCAAGCCATTTCAGACCCCCCCCGTGAGAGAACCCTCCAAAACATCGTCCCCAGACCCCCCCAGGCCCTCCAAGATAGCCTGGAAGAGACCCCCCCCGAAATCAGACCCCCCTCCCTTTATTACGAAATCTGGAGTATCGTTCAAAGCGTGACGTTCGCGTGCATCGTCTGCCAGATATCTGGGCAGAGACTTCGCATCATACAGCTGCTACGCAGATCAAACAGCGTTTCCTTTGGAACAGGGGGTCTCCGCTGGAGATCCGCAAACTCCATCGCAAGGCATTTCGAGCTTGTGAGGCTTCACGGATGTAGGGCGGCTCCTTCACATGTTGTTCTCGCTGGGGACTTCCTTGAACTTCGTGATCACCGATGTATAAAATCTTCCACGTGGCCGGATGGAAAAGGTCTGCTTCTGCACACGTGGCGGGGCTCTCGACTGAATGTCAGGGCCACGGGGGCGCTCGGCATCCACCAGGGGGCTGGTGGCCGTGAGGAGACAAGCTTGCAGGGGCGTGCGAGGAGGGAGCTGGGGAGGGGAGGGTGTGCTGCATCATCGCATGCTGGGCTCACTCTGGCCTTCCTCCTCCTCGTCCTCCTCCTCGTCATCCCCTTCGTCATCGTCCTCCTCCTCCTTACCTGGGGGTCTGCGGAGGCACTCTGGACGCGTGTCGATACCGATACCTCGGGGACAAAAGAAAAAGGACGAACGGGAGAGCGCATGGCGGCCCTGCGGTCGTGAACGCACCTCCCTCCTCCCCTCCCGGCAGAGGAGGCGGAGGATGCGGGGAGAGGAACGATGCCGAAGAACCTTCCCTCAGAGCGGCGGCAATGTCCAGATCCACGCCCTCGCGGTCCGGACTCCGGGACGCGACTCCTTTGATACGCAGTCGCACGGATGCATCCCGCGGGGGGCTTTCGCGAAAGGACGCCCAGCATCCACGGGGCCGCGGCCACAGGGCCTGGCCCGCGATGCCGGGGATGTGCACATGTCAAGGGGCCCAAGGACACACACATATATATATATATATATATAATACACACAAAATAAGGATTCCCCACATCTCCCCAGATTGTCCCGCCCGCGAAGCTTGGCGCCCGCGGGGCACCCCCGGCCCCCCGATCCCCCGGGAGGCGGCGGCAAGCCTGTGGCCGAAGCTGTGCCATAGCGCGGAGCGCGAGGCGCAGCAGGCTTCCCCCGGGCTCCCCTCGCCGCAGGGCCTCCGGGGTCCCTCGGCCCTGACCTTCCAGAGTGCTAAAGAATAGCCCTCCAGACCTGTGGACCTATCTGGGCGGCCTAAAACCTCGACAGGAATTAAGATATCGAGGTCCTGGTGCTAATTCTTAGCCCTCCTGGAAGGTCAGGGGGGGGGGGCCCGACCTCGAGCTCGCAGGAAGCCACTCTATTAGGCACATCTATCGCGGGCGGCGACCGGGGCCCCAAGACGCGCCCGCACCAGAAGAGAGCACTCCAGCGAAGGGCCACTCCTCGCACCTGCAGCCGCGACCGAAGAGCCGCGAAGGCTTCGCGCCCCCGCCGACCGCCGGCGCGCAGCGCGGGCCCCATCCTCCCGAGGCGCTCCGCCGCAGCCGCGGCGCAGTCCGCGGGCGCCGGGCGGTACATCCTCCGGGCGGCCGGGCGGCGCCAGCCCCACCGAGAAGGGCCCCCGGCTGCACGCAGGCCGGCGAGAGGGTGGCGGCGCGCACAGGGGGGCAGGGGGAGGGGGGAAGGCTTCTCAGAAGGGGGCTGTCTCTTCGAAGGCGCCGGCTGCATAATTACATGTACAGGCAAGGTCCGCGCCTTCTGAGGGGCAGGGGTGCTTCTGAAAAGGCTCCACCCTCCCCCTACCCCCTGCGCGTGGCCGAAACGAGCAGCACACACCTATACAAATAGGGGGGACAGAGGGGGTGCTATGGGCGCGTGCTGTCGGATGAAGGTCCCCGCTCGACCGGGAGCCTCCCCCGGGGTCCGACAATCCGCACCCACACCCACACCCAGCTCTCCTCCCTCCGATCCGATCCCCCTGCTGGTATGGATGTGTGTGTGTTGCTCGTGCGTCACAGACCGCCCCGGGAGGTAATCCTGGCTGGCCGAAACCTGTAGTCCGGGGCGCTCTCAGCATCCCGGCGCCGCCTCTGGCGCCGCCCCTGCAGGGCGATCTCTGCGCCCCAGACCCAGACCCCCGACGTCATGATTTTTTCATGACGTCGACCCCCAGAGGTTTGGACCCATTCCCCAGGACCGGTTTTTCATCCTGAATCGTTTTTTGACGGTCCTGAGGCCCGGTAGGGGCCCCCAAAAGCTACAAATATGGAAAAACCTCCCGTCGTGATTTTTTCATGACTCGAGGGGGTCTGGGGAGATCGCCCCCGACTTCTCGAGGGGCCTGCTGAGGCCAGCCGTGACGGCTCTCGGGAGCTCGTCGGGGCCAGCCAGGACGACCTGTGGGGGCGGTCTGCGCGCAGCCCGGAGCCTTCTACCGAGCCCCAACTTCTCTCTCTCTCTCTCTCTGATCTCTCGCCGAGGAACCCAAACACGGCGGGAGATTTTGCAAACCTTCCCAGAGGCCGACGCGTCGTGAGGTAAACAAAACGGGCAGCGTTCCGCCATGTGTAGCTTCTGGGGGTCCATCCTGGCCCTCGGGACTGCACAACAACGGCTCGGGATGAAAAGCCGGTCCCGAGGAAGGGGCCCAGACCTCTGGGGGTGCACGTGATGAAAAAAACCTAACATTTGGGGGTCTGGGTTTCGGGCGTTGCTATAAATGGTCATGGGCCACTTCTCTCACCGAGGTCTCTCACTTCGGAACAAGCCACGGCGGAAGATATTCGGGTGTTGCTGAACCCCGAGATCCTGCAGTCGCAATTTGTTCACACCGGGAGTATTGCCCTGTTCTGGGCGCATCATCAATTGCATCAGTATCGTCACACTCGTTGTCCTCACTGCCACCATCATTATCATCATTAACAGCATCATTATCATCATCATCATCATCATCATCAACATCAGCATCCTCAGCATCATCATCATGATCACCATCATCATTATCAGCACCACCAACAGCACCATCATCACCATCATCATCAGCATCATCATCAGCATCATCAACATCATCGTCATCGTCATCGTCATCGTCATCATCACCATCATCATCATCGTCATCATCATCGTCATCATCATCAGCATCATCAGCATCATCAGCCTCATCAGCATCGCCAGCATCGTCGTCATCGTCATCGTCATCATCATCACCACCACCATCATCATCATCATCATCAACATCATCAACATCATCATCATCATCATCATCATCATCATCATCATCATCATCATCATCACCACGGCATTGCATGATGATCGTCGTCAGTGTCGCTGAGATCAGAGGTTAACCTTCGCTGGCATCACCGTTTTGCACTTTGGGTGTCATTTTGTTGTAAGGAGCGGGATTGGTGCGCTGGGGTTGGGCCGTCTTGGTTGTAAGGAGCGGGTCTGGGGCTGGGCCGTTGTCGCCAAATGAGGTTCTACACGCGCCGTGGCCGTCAGAACCGCATGGGCTTTCGACTCGTGTGGGGCTTCTCGCGCTTTCTGGCCGACTGTGCGATTGTCGCCTCGTGCGTCCATGCGCCACGCAAACAGTGAGGAGAGCTCATGGGTTACCCTTGCGTCCATCGCCTGGCTCAACAGTGGCATGTTGTAAGGGGTGGGTGATCATATCTCCACGTTTGCAACATCGTCATGTACTCATGACCACAGCCGTCGCCCACGCGACCACCGTCATGACTGCTTACGCTCGCAATATGGGGCTCCGGGGCGTGCAGCCGCCTCTGCGGAGAAGGGTCTGGAAATATAGGTCGCGACGGACAGGAGGGTCTGGTTTCGGACCTAAAGCCGTTTCCACCTCCACAGGGGACACCTCGGCCCGGCTGGCCAGCTGACCCTCCCCCCCATGTGGGGATGGGCGCCGCCTCCCTTCAGGTTTCGCGGCACCCGCCCCCCCCTGAAGGGGGAACGCTGGAAGAACCAACCTACCCCGTCCAGGTCGGGGTTGGGATTGTGATCTGGCGAGAATCAAAACGGAAGTCTGGGATCCAGGTCGTGATCCGCGTCCGGTAGCAGTTCTCCAGCCCCTGGGGACGACCCCTGTTGGCAGCCACATCTGAGCCCCGACCGACGAACAGAATTTGTGGATCGATGGTCGTCGTTTGTCACTTCAGTTCGGGTAAAGGGCTGAGCCCATGTAAAGTTCACTGTTTTCTGGCAAATGGAATCACCGTTTCCAAGTATCTTACGAGGGACGAGCGAAAATACCTGGGATCGAATTCGTAGTTCTCGGCGTCTGAAGGTCGCTTTGGGGCCTGGGGTCATCACATATCGACCCGGTATGCTGAATCGCCGCAGAAAGGGATCCCGGGAGTGGTGCGTGAGACGATCCGGAACGGATTTTGTCGACGGAGACGGAGTGAGCCACAAGCGATACAGCAGCGCGACCCCATAGATACGCGGCCCCACGGATGCGTTCCGCGTGTGGCATCTGCGCAACGCCGCCATGTACTCATGGGGTCGTGGCAGGGGAATCCAGAGCGCAAGGCCGCAGATATGGAGCGTACATCTTTCCCGCTCAGAAATACCAGCGGGAGCTCAGGGGCAGGAGCGATCAACAGCGAATCCATACATCTGATCGAATAAGAACGTCATCGAATTGGGCCATCGAGTCGGATCAGCCGCGCCGGGATGCACAACCGCGCCATGAGAGCATCGAGCCGATCGGATCACTGGGATGTCGAGATCGAAACGGATCAAGACAAATTAATTCGACATCTAATCGAACCGACCGAATCGAATGTTGGAGGCCCAGAAATCTGCACCAACACCAACACATTCGGTTGCCTACACGGGGGGAAGATGATCCGGGACGTTGACCACCTTAAGAAACACCCAACCAACGTCCCCACCATCTCGGAGACCAGGATCATCTTCCATCGGTGGAGGCACCCTCGATGCTGGTGTTGGCGCCAACCTGAAAGTGGCCCATTCTAGGATACTCCAGACTGCTCCTCCTCCTCCTCCTCCTCCTCCTCCTCCTCCTCCTTTGCGACTCTCGGGAAACACCACTCAGCGACAAATGTGAACCTGCGGAGCTCCGCGCGGATTTTTCGTGGATCCGCGCTAGTCCGCCAGGGCCGGCGCCGGAGTCGCCGGCAGGGGAACCCAGAGCCAATCCAAGAAGTCCGCGCGGTGCTTCGACAGGCTTTGTTTGTGCAAAATGTTCTGCTTCGTTCTAGGCCATAAGAAGGCCCTGAGGGATGTCCCCAACCCCCCGACGATACAATATTTTTATCACGTGAACCCCCAGAGGTCTAAACTCCTCTCCTGGGACCGGCGTCTCATCCTGAGTCGTTTTCCCCAACCATCCTGTGGTGTCGGGTCCTCGTTTTGAAGAGACGGTCCCCGCGTTCTCCTCCTTCCTCCTCCTCCCCCTCCTCCCTCCTCCCTGCGTTTCACCCACCCAGTACAGCGCTTCGTGGCCCCATAGGGAACTCCGCCGAAGGCCCCAGTGGCACCGCCCGCATGCGTCACCCACACCCATTTCGGCACACCCCTCACACGTTGCGTGGCCCCACAGGGAGCTCCACCGAAGGCCCCAGTGTCACCGCCCGCATGCGTCACCCCCACCCAGTACAGCGCTTCGTGGCCCCATTGGGAGCTCCACCGAGAGCCCCAGTGGCACCGCCCGCATGCGTCATCCCCCACCCAGTACAGCGCTTCGTGGCCCCATAGAGAGCTCCACCGAAAGCCCCAGTGGCACCGCCCGCATGGGTCATCCCCAACCCAGTACAGCGTTTCGTGGCCCCATAGGGAGCTCCACCGAAGCCCCTAATGGCACCGCCCGCATGCGTCACCAACACCCTATACAGCGTTTCGTGGCCCCATTGGGAGCTCCACCGAAGGCCACAGTAGCACCGCCCGCATGCGTCATCCCCCACGCAATACAGCGTTTCGTGGCCCCACTGGGAGCTCCACCGAAGGCCGCAGTGGCTCCGCCCGCATGCGTCACCCCCACACAGTACAGCATTTCGTGGCCGGCCCCATAGGGAGCTCCACCGAAGGCCTCATCGGCACCGCCCGCATGCGTCACCCCCCACCCAGTACAGCGTTTCGTGGCCCCATTGGGAAAACGCACAAAAAAAAAAAGAAAGCAGGAAAAGAATTAAAAAAGATGGAAAAGAAAAAAGAGAAAAAAAGAAAGAAAAAAGAAAGAAAAATAAGAAATAACAAAGAAAAAAAAAAGAAAAGAACGAGCAAGATAAAAAGAAAAAAAAAACTCCACCGAGAGCCCCAGTGCACCCCCGCATGCGTTCCAACACCCCGCCACTACAGCGCTTCGTGGCTCCATAGGGAGCCCCACCGAAGTCCTCAGTGGCACCGCCCGCATGCGTCACCCCCCTCCCAGTACACAGCTTCGTGGCTCCATTGGGAGCTCCACCGAGGACCACAGTGGCACCGCCCGCATTTACATCGTTTCGTGGCCCCACAGGAAGCTCCACCGAAAGCCCCACTGACACCGCCCGCATGCGCCACACCCACCCAGTACAGCGCTTCGTGGCCCCACAGGGAGCTCCGCCGAAGGCCCCAGTGGCACCGCCCGCATGCGTGGCCCCATAGGGAGCTCCGCTAAAGGCCCCAGCGGCACCGCCGGCATGGGTCCCCCCCCACCCAGTACAGCGCTTCGTGGCCCCATTGGGAGCTCCACCGAAGGCCCCAGTGGCACCGCCCCCATACGTCACCCCCCCCAGTACAGCGCTTCGTGGCTCCATAGGGAGCTCCACCGAAGTCCTCAGTGGCACCGCCCGCATGCGTCACCCCCCTCCCAGTACAGCCCACCCAGTACAGCGCTTCGTGGCCCCCCAGGGAGCTCCACCGAAGGCCCCAGTGGCACCGCCCACATGCGTCACCCCCACCGAGTACAGCGCTTCGTCGCCCCATAGGGAATTCAACGGGAGGCCCCAGTGGATGCACATGCATGCGTCGCCCCCGCCCAGTGCGGCGCTTCGTGGCCCCATAGACGCTCCAACGAAGGCCCCAATGGCGGTGTTCGCATGCGTGCCCCCCACCCAGCACAGCGCTGCGTGGCCTCATGGGGAGCTGCACCGAAGGCCCCGGTAGCTGTATTCGCATGCGTTTCCCCACCCATGACACTGTTTCGTTGCCCCGTAGCGAGTTCCACCGAAGGCCCCAGTGGCGGCCCCGCCCCACTGCGGTGCACTCCTCACACTTTTCGCGGCCCCGTGGCGGCCCCGCCCCACATCGGCACACCCTTCGCATTCTTCATGGCCGCGTGAGAAGATCCTCCGAAGGCGATACCGGCAACGACGGCACTCACAACTGCAAATGGTTGAGTTCTTCGCCAAGATAATTGTTTGACCGTGCACCAGCCCGGCAAAGGCCCGCGAAGCCAAAAAATGACTGAACACCTTCCGTCGTGTTTTTTTCACTACGCGAGAGCGTCTGGGTCCGACGCCCCAGCGTCGGCTGGACCCGCAGGGGGGCGGGGGTTTACAGGTGACCCGGCGTCGCGAAAAAAACACGGTACCCATCTTCCTGCTGGCCTGGGCACGAAACCAGGCACAATTCTTCGACGCCGAGATCTCAAGGCCTTGGCGGCATGCGCACCCGAACCCGGACCTCATGCGGCCGCTCGGGACCGAGCCCGGCACCTCCGGAACGCCCCCGGCGAGGCGCAGCTGCGGGACGGCACCGCGAGGCTCTCTGTAGAACCGACGGCAACGCCACAGTATGCCTCGAACTTCGAGCCTCGAGCCTCGAGCCTTCGAGACTCGAACCTTCGAGCCTCGAACCTCGAACTTCGAGCCTCGAACCTCGAACCTCGAGCTTCGAGGTTCGAGCCTCGAACTTCGAGCCTCGAGCCTTCGAAACTCGAGCCGCGACGCACTGCGGTCTCGGGGAAGGGGGGCACCCCAGGCGTCGACGCTGGCGCCGCCAGGGGGGGAGGCGGGGCTCTCGCGACGGGCGGCGGCCGGCCGGGCTCTCCTCGGCAGGAGGTGCCTCAGGAGCTCGTCGCAGCGGTGCTCGCCGCGGAAGCCGTGGTAAACCTGGGGTGTGGGCTGGCCATCGCTCGGACGCCCATTCTCTGTGTGTGTTTTTCTGTTTCGTCCGTGGCTTTTTCGCCAAGTGATCAAGGATGCTCCTCGATGGTCTCCGGGGAAGGAAAAATGCACGCGTCCGAGCGATGCCAAGTGGGGGGGGGCCGTTTCTGGCCTCGGGGGGGCCGGGCCCCAGGACCGCCGTCAGAGAACGGCCAGGCAGGAGCAGGAGAAGGCGGCTCCGGAGAGGGGGTCAGGGCTTCCGGGGACCCCGTGCTGAAACAGTCATGGCGTCGCATGTTCATTGAGACAGCATCGGAGAATCGACGGTACACAGTAGGCACATACGATACGAGGTCCTACTGCAAGAAATCTACGAACACAGCCTTCGTGGACTCTGCGCTTCGCAAGGTGCGCAAGGGCTGTGCGGCCCTGCTGTAGAGGTCAGAGGGCTTCGAGTGGGGAGGGGCGGGAAGTACCGAACGGGAGCGCCGATGTTGCTGGATAATCGGCTCTGGGGGCGAGCAAGAGCCCCGGCCCAAAGGAGGGAGTATCGAGCCGGGATGTTGTTGTTGTTGTTGTTGTTGTTGTTGTTGTTGTTGTTGTTGTTGTTGTTGTTGTTGTTGTTGTTGTTTTTGTTGTTGTTTTTGTTGTTATTGTTGTTGGTGTTGTTGATGTTGTTGTTGTTGTTGTTGTTGCTGTTGTTGTTGTTGTTGTTGGGGCGCAGGTTCTGGCGCACCCCAGAAACGCCTGAGCGCGAGTCTAATTCTCAAAGGAACTGCAGCCGGCGATTACGCGAGAGCGCGAAAGCGAATTCGGGATGTCCAACAATAAGAATTGTTTAGTAGTTCAGGTTCAACTATACAACAAAAGCATCAACAACACCACCAAGAACAACCAAACAACCAAACAAACACACAAACAAACACACACACACAAACAAACAAACAAACAAGCAAACAAACAAACAAACAAACACACAAGCAAACAAACAAAACTCAAACAAACAAGCAAGAACGACAAGAATCCGTATCGCGGAATCCCACTTCAGCCACGCACCCAGGGACAGTAAATGACCGTTCGGCCCCATCACTCTGACGATCCAGCATCCTGATGAGGCGCAATGAGGCGGAGGAGGGACAGGGAGGGAGGAAAAGGGATGTGAGACGGGGTGCAATCAACGGCTTGCATTGCTACTAGCCCCGATGGCAAACGATTGACAACCGTCCGCAGAAAAGTGAACCAACCCGGATAGCCTCAATGAGCGCGTCAAGCATAATGTAAGACCACTGGAAGGGTAATGCAAGCGTGTGCAAGAGGATAATCGGCCAAACACACACCGACACTTGCGCCTCCGACGCCCCGGCAGCTCACATCAGCCACCGACAACAATGAAGGGGGCCGCCCGCAGAGCCGATTATCAATCTCACGCGGCCACGCGGCCACGCATACGCGTACGCACGTTTTGCTCAGGTGCGGTTGCTCGCAGAACAAAAAAAGCAACCTCATCGGCGGCGGAGAGCAGCGGGGGACACGGGACACAGGCAACGGTGAAAGAGAGACGAGACAGACCGAGAGAACGTGGGAGGACCAGGCCGAAGGCAGCGGGGCGGAGGAGGAGAGGCAGCGGCCGTGACGAAAGCAGCGGTCCAACGAGACGCGCAGCCAGGAAGGGACTGCGAGCACACGGAAGACGACCGCGGTGCACGGCGAGGCGCGAGGCACACCTTGCCCTCCGACGTGGCGATGGAGACGGTGAATCGGTGAAGGAATAACTTGCGTGGGACCGTGAACCAAGACCGAACACCCCAGTGGGTGTCAAGCCTCAGGCAGGATCACGCGAGAGGGTACACACACCATCCTGTCCTTTTCCCACGTCAACACCCTGGTCATCCTCCTCGCCGCCGCCCCCGACCTCCTTTCCACTTCCCTTCCCCGCCACTTCCACGCCACCTCATCATACTCGCGCTTCTCGCCCCCCCTATCTTCATGATTCCCCTCCCTCTTCGTCCCCCACACCCCCCTCAGTCCTTTTTTGTCGTCTCTCCTCTTTGACCTCACTCTTAAATGTTCTTCCTCGATGATCGTAGCGCGCCCGATACAAAAGAAAAAATATCAGCACAAATACTAATTGTCGGAGGGCCACGCGGATTTCTTGGATCGGCGCGGGACCACTCCTCGCTGACGCGCGGAGCGCGCCAAAAGCGGCGCTGGAGGCGCCGCCAAAGGGGTGACCACCGCTGATCCAAGGAATCCGCACAGACCTCTATAAATTTACATATGTTACCTAACAGCGAAGACTGATAGGTTTCTAGTAGGGTCAAAAGAAAGCATCATGACGCCCCAGGGGGGTCTGGGCGCGATCCGGGGGAGGGTGCCGGGGACTTTTTTTAGCCAAAAGTTACACACTTCGTGGTCTTCGAGGTCCCAGAACTCCATTCCCGGGCCACATTCTGAATGCCCGGAGCCAAGTGTAGGCCACTTCGTGGTTTTCGAATTCCCAGCCTTCCCGGGCCACATTTTGAATGCCCGGAGCTAACTGTAGGCCACTTCGTGGTCTTCGAGTTCCCAGAACTCCATTCCTGGGCATGATTTGGAATGCCCGGAGCCAACTGTAGGCCACTTCGTGTTCTTCGAGTTCCGAGATCTCCATGCCCGGGCCACATTTTGAATGCTGAGGATGAGGCAGGCTGAGGCTGAGGCAGGCTGAGGCTGAGGCCGAGGCTGAAGGCAGACTGAGGCTGAAGCTGAAGCAGGCTGAGGCTGAGGCTGAGGCAGGCTGAGGCTGAGGCTGAGGCGAGGCTGAGGCAGGCTGATGCTGAGGCAGGCTGAGGCCGGGGCTGAGGCTGATGCAGGCTGAGGCTGAGGCAGGCTGAGGCTAAGGCCGAGGCTGAAGGCAGACTGAGGCTGAGGCTGAGGCAGGCTCAGGCTGAGGCTGAGGCTGAGGCAGGCTGATGCAGGCTGAGGCTGAGGCTGATGCTGAGGCAGGCTGAGGCTGAGGCTGAGGCTGAGGCAGGCTGATGCTGAGGCGGGCTGAGGCTGAGGCTGAGGCTGATGCAGGCTGAGGCTGAGGCAGGCTGAGGCTGAGGCCGAGGCTGAAGGCAGACTGAGGCTGAGGCTGAAGCAGGCTGAGGCTGAGGCTGAGGCAAGCTGAGGCTGAGGCTGAGGCAGGCTGATGCTGAGGCAGGCTGAGGCTGAGGCTGAGGCTGATGCAGGGTGAGGCTGAGGCAGGCTGAGGCTGAGGCCGAGGCTGAAGGCAGACTGATGCTGAGGCTGAAGCAGGCTGAGGCTGAGGCTGAGGCAGGCTGATGCTGAGGCAGGCTGAGGCTGAGGCTGAGGCTGATGCAGGCTGAGGCTGAGGCAGCCTGAGGCTGAAGCCGAGGCTGAAGGCAGACTGAGGCTGAGGCTGAAGCAGGCTGAGGCTGAGGCTGAGGCAGGCTGAGGCTGAGGCTGAGGCAGGCCGATGCTGAGGCAGGCTGAGGCTGAGGCTGAGGCTGATGCAGGCTGAGGCTGAGGCAGGCTGAGGCTGAGGCCGAGGCTGAAGGCAGACTGAGGCTGAGGCTGAAGCAAACTGAGGCTGAGGCTGAGGCAGGCTGAGGCTGAGGCTGAAGCAGGCTGATGCTGAGACAGGCTGAGGCTGAGGCTGGCTGAAGCAGGCTGAGGCTGAGGCAGGCTGAGGCTGAGGCCGAGGCTGAAGGCAGACTGAGGCTGAGGCTGAGGCAGGCTGAGGCTGAGGCTGAGGCAGGCTGAGGCTGAGGCTGAGGCAGGCTGATGCTGAGGCAGGCTGAGGCTGAGGCTGAGGCTGATGCATGCTGAGGCTGAGGCAGCCTGAGGCTGAGGCCGAGGCTGAAGGCAGACTGAGGCTGAGGCTGAAGCAGGCTGAGGCTGAGGCTGAGGCAGGCTGAGGCTGAGGCAGGCTGAGGCTGAGGCTGAGGCAGGCTGATGCTGAGGCAGGCTGAGGCTGAGGCTGAGGCTGAGGCAGGCTGAGGCTGAGGCCGAGGCTGAAGGCAGACTGAGGCTGAGGCTGAAGCAGGCTGAGGCTGAGGCTAAGGCAGGCTGAGGCTGAGGCTGAGGCAGGCTGATGCTGAGGCAGGCTGAGGCTGAGGCTGAGGCTGATGCAGGGTGAGGCTGAGGCAGGCTGAGGCTGAGGCCGAGGCTGAAGGCAAACTGATGCTGAGGCTGAAGCAGGCTGAGGCTGAGGCTCAGGCAGGCTGAGGCTGAGGCAGGCTGAGGCTGAGGCTGAGGCAGGCTGAGGCTGAGGCTGTGACTGCGACTGCCGTTGCCACTGCGGCTGCCATCGCGAATGCGACTACGACTGCGAGAACAGCAGAATTCTACAACAGGATCATCATCAGAATCTTAAGGGGAATGATTCCAGATATGTTCCTACACATCGTTGTTAGGTTGCTTTGCCGGGATAACTTCTGCCTAACAGCGAAGACTGATAGGTTTCTAATAGGATCAAAAGAGAGCATCATGACGCCCCAGGGGGGTCTGGGCGCGATCCGGGGGAGGATGCCGGGGACTCCATTTTTTTTTTTTTTTAAGAAACGCACTTCGTGGTCTTCGAGTTCCCAGAACTCCATTCCTGGGCATGATTTTGAATGCCCGGAGCCAACTGTAGGCCACTTCGTGTTCTTCGAGTTCCCAGAACTCCATTCCTAGGCATGATTTTGAATGCCCGGAGCCAACTGTAGGCCACTTCGTGCTCTTCGAGTTCCCAGAACTCCATTCCTGGGCATGATTTTGAATGCCCGGAGCCAACTGTAGGTCACTTCGTGGTCTTCGAGTTCCCAGAACTCCATTCCTGGGCATGATTTTGAATGCCCGGAGCCAACTGTAGGCCACTTCGTGTTCTTCGAGTTCCCAGAACTCCATTCCCGGGCTACATTTTGAATGATGAGGCAGGCTGATGCTGAGGCTGAGGCAGGCTGAGGCTGAGGCAGGCTGAGGCTGAAGCCGAGGCTGAAGGCTGACTGAGGCTGAGGCTGAAGCAGGCTGAGGCTGAGGCTGAGGCAGGCTGAGGCTGAGGCTGAGGCAGGCTGATGCTGAGGCAGGCTGAGGCTGAGGCTGAGGCTGAGGCTGATGCAGGCTGAGGCTGAGGCAGGCTGAGGCTGAGGCTGAGGCTGAGGCTGGCTGATGCTGAGGCAGGCTGATGCTGAGGCTGAGGCTGAGGCAGGCTGATGCTGAGGCAGGCTGAGGCTAAGGCCGAGGCTGAAGGCAGATTGAGGCTGAGGCTGAAGCAGGCGGAGGCTGAGGCTGAGGCAGGCTGAGGCTGAGGCTGAGGCAGGCTGAGGCTGAGGCAGGCTGAGGCTGAGGCTTAGGCTGAGGCAGGCTGAGGCTGACGCAGGCTGATGCTGAGGCAGGCTGAGGCTGAGGCTGAGGCTCATGCAGGCTGGGGCTGAGGCAGGCGGAGG